GTGGAATTTGATTTGTTTGTTACGAATTACTTTAGTTACGGATGTGGTTACGTTGTTGTCTATTCTCGATTGGTTTGTAATCAGATATTTTAGCGTCCCCACGCGCGTATAAAAGCCTCGTTTAGCGTCCCTTTAGCCAGTGTATGATTGTATTTCGCCTTGTCCATTCTATCTGTTCGACTCGCCGTTTTTGGTTCTTAACCTTTGGCACAAGCGGGACCGACATGCGAGTAATTTTGCTAGTTTCCTCCTTTGATTAGTTTTCTTGTTTTGGGTGGAAGCACGCTAACGTACAGAGTCGTACAATAGTACAATTTATTGTTTTCAATCTAAAGAGGGCGAATCAAAGAATGAGACGCTAAGCTAGGAACGCTCACTTTGTTAATCTTACAATCGATTTAAATCTCGAGTTATTTTGATGTAGCTTATTATGATTTTCGAGTATTCCTGTTGATTGTTCTTAATTTTGATCGCGTTATCGACGGAGGCAGGTTAATTGCTCTAAGCGTTTTCTTCATGAGTTACGCAACGTTTTAAGAAAATTGCATTCTTCTTTCAGTTTACGATCGTGATCGTGATTGTCTATCGTGGTTCGCTAATCGTTTATCATCATTAAATCACCGTTAACCGTCAACCTTAGATTTCCGTGGTTATTGGTACTTGAAGCACACGACCTGTAAGGTAGTCCCGTAGCATTAACACGCTTTAGCGACACCCTTCGACTTCGATCTCGTTTGTCGCAAGCGTCACATAAATATTTTAAAAGATGGCGGGTGGTCACGTTTATGTACGGCTCCTGATTTGTATGGTGTTCTCTACGTTTGTACTGGGTTGCAGAAGCATTGTCAAAAATCAAGGTCACTCCAAAGCTAATGTAGATAGAGTGCTGTTGCCTTCTTGGGCCATTAAACGTCAGTCTTGCGCCAATCGAGTGAAATTCCCAATTGTGAAGTGGTCTAAACATGGTTGTATAGTCATCACTCTACCGGAGATTAAACAAGCGACGTCTGGAGTGGACACAATTCTGAAATGTGGTGATATCCATCCTCATCCTGGACCTCCTACTTCCAAATCGTGCACTAATGAAGGAAAAGCTCATTTGAATGTTCGCTCGATGGTGTCGCGCGAGAATTTCCATCTTATAAAGCAGACGATATATTTACAATCTCGGAGACTTGGCTCGACCCTTCCAGGACTGATACTGATARACAAATTTCTGGTTACATTCTATTTATACAAGACCGCGGAACGCACAGGACTGGTGGTGGAGATGTTGTTTATGTTAAACATACCTACAAGGCTTCCATTATCACAGAATTGTCCGCAGTTTCTGATTGTAACTTCCAACAGCTCTGGCTTAAGGTGCAGTGTAAAAAGCTTAAATCCTTCCTTTTGTGTACAGTTTATAGGCCTCCGAATTCGCCTAGCACCTTTCTTGAAAACATAGAAGAAATCTTCGTGGATTCTTTATTGCTGGGGATGGAAGTTATCATAATTGGCGACCTGAAATGTAATCTTCAAGGGAACTGCCCCGACGGTCGTGCCTTGTCTGATTTTTGTGCTACTTTGAATTTCACGCAAATGGTCAAGGAACCCTCCAGGGTAACCGACAAGTCACAAACGCTTATTGATGTAGTTTTTACTACGAATGAGAACATCGTCAATGCCTGCGAGCTAATGTCATCAACAATCAGCGATCACAGCCTGGTTTGTGTAACACTTAAAATCAAAGCGCCGAAACCGCGTTGTACTTATATCACCTTAAGAAGCTTTAAGAACTATACACATACTAAATTCATTGAGGACTTGGCTAGTATTCCCTTTTATAAAGCTAACATTTTTGATGACCTTGATGACCACGTTTATGTGTTCAATTCTTTATTTCTGGGTGTACTCAACGATTACGCACCAATCAAGCGAGTAAAAATAAAATCAAGACCTAACCCATTTATTACCCCAGAGATTCGACAGCTAATGAGAACTCGAGATAATTGGCACAAAAGGGCGATTAAAACAAAATATCGGCTTCACTGGAATACCTATCGTTTCTTTCGTCAAGAAGTCAAGAGGGAAATCAGATTTGCCGACGGTCGAACGAATCCCTGGGTAGAGGTTTATCTTCACAATAACGAACAAATTCGTCGAAAGCCAACATCACGCCATTGTAGACTTCTCTGAATCGTTTCTCGTCGTCACTGGCATCGGCAGGAGTGTCTAAGACAGAGTGTGTAATTCTCGTTCTATTTTTTTCCAAATAAGTCATCTTGGCTCGCTCGTCTACACAAGAAATGACTTCGTCTAGTACCACACAGGCATGGGCAGGATACTCCTCCAAGTCTTTGGTCACTCCCAACGGTTTGGCTGACTCTTTAATCACTCGAAGGTAATTTGTGAAAGCGTCAAACACTTCAGTTTGCGCTTGTTTTATTTCTAGTGTAGGAGCTTCTCGTATTCCTGTCAAGTCTTTCATGGTGTTTAAGTTATGGTCCAAATCTCCTGTAGTGGCATCTACTCTCAAATCGTAAAGCATACAAACGACTTGACAAGCTGCAGACCAAGGGCGAGTATGAATGGAAGAAGGCATCGTTCTGTCTAGTGTGCATTCTAGGTATCAAATGGTAATAAAGAGTAGGTAGCAGTAGTGTTTTATAAAAGCTAGCTGTCAATCACGCGTAGGG